CAGTATGTGCAGGAGAATAGTATGGAGAGTATGACAGTGGGCAGTATGTGCAGGAGAATAGTATGGAGAGTATGACAGTGGGCAGTATGTACAGGAGAATAGTATGGAGAGTATGACAGTGGGCAGTATGTGCAGGAGAATAGTATGGAGAGTATGACAGTGGGCAGTATGTGCAGGAGAATAGTATGGAGAGTATGGGTTTTCCCCTACAAATAGTTTCACACACTCTCTGGAATTGTTTGATGCAATGTACAGATGACTTTCACATTTAATTATAAATGACAATGGTTTTCCACACAGCAAAGTCTACTCAAATCCAATGCGTAGATAATACATTGGACATCCCATGTTTATAGCTGTGCTTTGGATCTTTCCCTGAACACTGGATTTAACTGAGCTAACACATTATTATCTCCTCTAAATCAGAATAAAGGCATCTAACTTTGACATTCAGTTTAATTCACTGTTGATGTTTCCATGTTGTGTCCCTACTGATGGTTACATACTTACAGTCTGCAGTTACTGTACAAATTTAATAATGTAACTTTGAGGCTGCATTCACATTGAGCTGAGCGTCACTGGTTATTTTACTTTTGTTTTTGTTTTCTGGGGTTTTTTTTAGCGTTTGCACAGGCATTTTAAGCTTTTTTTGTGAGTGTCTCAGGATTGAACCTTCCTCTTTTTACTAGGAAAAAAAAATGTGCATAAAATACAAGCACTTTGTGTGCTTTTGGGGTGCTCCAACTGAAGTCTATTGAGAACAAATGCTCTTGAGGCTTGAAGCTCAGAAGTTGATGTACTTTTTGGAGTTACAAACTTCAAGTGACACTGCACTCAGGTGTGAAGAACTGAAAACCATGGGATTCTGTTATGCTCTGTATTTTTTATCTACAAAAAGTAATGAAAGACATAAAAAACAAAACAAAACATGGGGTTTTGGATGTTGAGAAGTTTGCAGCTTCAAGCTTTCAGGTACAAAACACTGAGTTGTGAAAGGGGCCTTGGAGTATCAGGCAGGATAATGAGTTTAATCAACCTTGCTACCAGTCCTAAAGCAAACCTTTAATGTAATTATTGAAAAGAAAATTAGCCAACTGGTGCCATGTAATACCTATATGTTCCGTATTCACATACTGATAGAGCTTCCTTGACTTCAATGGCATGGAGACAGGAAGCAAGACCCCCTCCATCTTCCACCATTGACAGTGCTGCATGCCTAACCTATTAACAGACTCAACTGTTACAAGAGGTCAGTACCTAAGCATATTCAAATAACAACTTATTGAAAGTCATGATCTGCAGAGGACCTGTTGCAGGCCACCAAGGTACAGGGAAGATGCAGAACCTTCAAGTAGATAAACTTTGACCTGTTAATGTAATTTTAAAAGTTGCTCCCAATGTTTTTTTTAAATCAGCAGTCTTCTTTAAAGAATACCTGTTGATCCTGCAATGGTCTTTGTACGGAGTGACAACTGTCTCCAATTAACCTACTGCATTTTACGCTGTGATATGTGCCCCCGGGTGGAGACTAGAGACAGCTGTGCCAACATACATTGAGCAAGTGTGGTCCATTGTTCTCACTATGGGGAAGCTAATCCACAGCAATGGTGTGCAGCTGATACTGGGGCAAGTGCATGTAGACAGGAAGTTCAAACAAGAAAACTTGAGCATGGAATCCTCATTAGCATGACAGAAGTTCTTGAATACCAGTATAGTTAGTAAGAAACACCAATGTGGAGACAAAGCAAGGCAATGTGAAGGAAACGGCAACCCCAGATCTCCAGACCGGCATTGCAGGGCTTTGACAGCTGTCAAAAAATCACCAATAAACAGCATCCAGTGCCACTGCCTCATGCCTTGTGGTGACCTCTACATGCTGGTTGAAAGAGGGGGACCTTGGCACACAGCTTTGTCTCCATCTTGGTGTTTCCTACCACCTATGCGGATAGTCAAGAATTTTAACTGTAAGTGTGCTATTTTATTGTTTCAAGAAAGGATTTTTGTCATGCTAATGAGGATCCTGCGCTCCTGTTTTTTTGTTGTTGTTTGAGCTGCTTTTGGATCATCCCAGATCTCCACTGGAAGCTGCAGGATCCTTTTGTTATATGGTCCCTGACCATCTTCTTGATTTGATTGGAATTCTGTTTGGACTGAACTTCATTGATACTACTGGCATTGGACATTAAAAGCTGGGACTTGTAGTGCACTTTCCTAGTTTATGGATTTACTTTAATTCTTTGTAGACAGGAAGAGGCTCAGCAGCGCTTAGTGTCCAATCACCCAGATGCAGTATGGCTGTGCTGGCAGCTATTTCCAGTGTAGCCCCAACATACAGACAAGGCAAAATGCATTACTTTCTAAGGTTTGCAGGTTGTAACATACATTGCAAAGCCACCACAGAAAATAAAACTTGTGGCACTTCAAAAAAAGTTCTGTGAAAGAAAAATAAACAGTGTGGCAGGATGTGCGTATCAGTACTGTGTCCCACAATGCACGCCGGTGGCTGTGCGTTTAGACCCAGCTTGCTGGTGTGACATAGCCCTGGAGAGTAACAAATTCATTTTTTTACAGGCCATTATTTAGGATATGCAGCACTTCAGTACACTAAATGTCATTCCGTCTGGGTTTTCATCAACTTACAGTTTTCCACTATCCTGACGGGCGCTCTGTTTTCTCTCTTTATTTGGATGAAAGGTTTACTTTAAGTCTTTATTTTGTTCCTTTCTACCTGTATAGCTTTTAGAAGTATACAGTATGTTGTACCCAGTAGGTGATCACATTTTGATTAATGCTGTAAAGATCTGTCTACAGCTGTCTGCAATTACCCAGTGTCCACACTGACAGCATTCTACAACTCTACTATGACAACAAGCACAATCTGAACATCTTTCACTGGGTACAATGCTACTTCTGAAGCTGGAACAGATAAAGCAGAGCATAATAGGTCATAAAAACTATTTACAAAGATGAATACTTCACCGTTCTACCGTATGAAATTTCCCAAAAAAGCAATGGTTGACATGAAAATATCTGGTCAACTGTTCTACGCAGTGAGCGGAATGATTGAGGCTATAGGGTCTATGTATTTCTATATACGAGGGTAGCAGTAACCCATTTTTTTTACTTTTGCGTTTGTCCAATCCACTGTTCTACGCAGCAAGCGGAATGATTGAGGCTATACGGTCTATGTATTGCTATATACGAGGGCAGCAAATACCCATTTTTTTTACTTTTGCCTTTGTCCGATCCACTGTTTTACGCAGCGAGCGGAATGATTGAGGCTATAGGGTCTATGTATTGCTATATACGAGGGCAGCAAATACCCATTTTGTTTTTACTTTTGCCTTTTTCCGATCCACTGTTCTATGCAGTGAACGGAATGATTGAGGCTTAGGGTCTATATATTTCAGTATACAAGGGTAGCAAATACCCATTTTTTTTTTACTTTCACCTTTGTCTGGTCCACTGTTCTATGCAGTTTAGGGAATAATTGAGGCTTAGGGTCTATATATTTTTGTATACGAGGGTAGCAAATACCCATTTTTATTACTGTCTGGTCCACTGTTCTGTGCAGTGAATGGAATGATTGATGAAGACATCAAAGAATATACCACTTTTACCTATTGTACTAAATAATATCTACAGTTTATGTAAAGATTTGCTTTATGTCATCCTGGATTTATAATACTTACTAAGCACTTGCCTTGGGCATTGCTGTTCAGTGGCCAAAACGTTATCATAACTGACTTCATTGCCCCCCTTGGACTTTATGACACTATCCACATAAGTTTCATATACAAATAATAGAGAAGGCGTAAAGAATACAAACGTTTGCACTTATAAGTTACCAGTGATGGATATATTCATAGTTTCTTGATACTATCCAATATACAGCCCTACTGAAACTGTACAAACCGTAGAAGAAACTTATATGGTAACGTTCTATGTCTGAAATAAGGCTTTCCATAATCTCTACAAGCTTTTCTATATCTGTTCTGCCATGTGGGGCTGATTTGTGAAGTATAAAGAAAACTAGAGGTATAATGGAGTTGTTTTCAATAGCAATCTATCCAAATCCTTAGTTTATTTTGTCAGTGAATGAATGATGAAACCTGAATGGTTGCTTTTGGCAACATCAACTGTTTATTACAAAATCAGAACAGTTTCTCCAGAAATTGAGTCACATAAATGAACTGAGTCTCCACTATATACTTAGGATGAAATAAATTAGAGACTCGCCCAATAAAGTTGGAATAAAATATGCAAAAGCCATTTAAATGGCTTTGCCTGAAAAGCACTGATCTTTTAGTTCCCATTACAGAACTTAAATACAGCCCATTATTACAGATTAGCCTTTCTCAACCAGGGTTCCATGGGACTGTTGGGTTCCTCCAGAGGTTGCCAGGGATTCATTGAGGAAGGAGTAATATCTGCCTCTTAGATAAGTTCCCATAGACACCAATGATCTTTTTTGCTATCTGTACAGGGGATCCTTCCCAATCATCACCAATGTGAGAAGCATTCTTTCCATTCATCACCAATGTGAGAAGCATTCTTTCCATTCATCACCAATGTGAGGAGAATACTTTCCACTGATCACAGATGAAAGGAGAATTCTTCCCACTGACCAACAATATATGGAGAGTCCTTCCCAATGCCCATTCTTTCAACTAACCACTACTGAAGCAGCATTCTTCTCAATGACCACCAATGAAGAAACATTCTTCCCAATGACCACCAATGTAAGAACAATTCTTTCCACTGACCACCAATGTAAGGAAAATCCTTCCCAATGACCACCAATGAAAGGAGCATTCTTCCCAAAGACCAGAAACAGTTGAGTACTGTCCATGATACTTTTTTATTTGCGTTAACATACAATTTTTTCAGGACAAGCTTTCAGGGTGTACTGTGTACTTTCAGTACTGTCTCTGTCACAAGTGAACTAATATGGCTACAATCAATTATCCCAATGAACGCCAATGTAAGGAACATTCTTTCAACTGACCACTAATGTAAGAAACATTCTTTCAACTGACCACTACTGTAAGGAGCATTCTTCCCAATGACCACCAATGTAAGAAGCATTCTTCCCAATGACCACCAATGTAAGGAGCATTCTTTCAACTGACCACTAATGTAAGGAACATTCTTCCAACTAATCACTAAAGTAAGGAGCATTCTTTCCAATGATCACCAATGTAAGAAGCCTTTTTTCGAACTAGCCACTAATGTGAGGAACATTCTTCCCAATGATCAGAAACATAAAGGCCATTCTTCTCAGAAATCACCAATGTAAGCAACATTCTCCCAAGTGATCACCAGTGTAAGAGCATTCTTCCCACTGACCACCAATATGAAGGCATTCTTCCCATTGATCACCAATGTAAAGGGCATTCTCCCCAGTGATCAGCAGTGTAAGACACATTCTTCCCACTGACCACCAATGTAAGGGGCATTCTTCCCATTGACCACAAATTTAAGGACATTCTTCCCACTGATCACCAACGTAAGGGCATTCTTCCCACTGACCACCAATGTGAATGCATTCTTCCCACTGATCACCAATGTAAGGACAATCTTCCCACTGATCACCAATGTAAGGACAATCTTCCCACTGACCACCAATATAAGGACATTCTTCCCACTGTTTACCAATGTAAGGGCATTCTTCCCACTGACCACCAATGTGAAGGCATTCTCCCCACTGATCACCAATGTAAAGACAATCTTCCCACTGACCACCAATATGACATTCTTCCCACACCAATGTGAAGGGCATTCTCCCCCCACTGATCACCAATGTGAAGGCATTCTCCCCACTGATCACCAATGTAAAGACAATCTTCCCACTGACCACCAATATAAGGACATTCTTCCCACTGTTTACCAACGTAAGGGCATTCTTCATACTGATCACCAATGTAAGGAGCATTCTTCCCACTGACCACCAATGTAAGGAACATTCTTCCCCCAGACCATCTTTCAATGTAGAGTGAGCTATAGATATAGTAATTATTAGCAGGGGGTCCCTGAGGCTGAGAAGTTATTTCAAGGGTTTCTTTGAGTTAGAAAAGGTTGAGAAAGACTGTTATAGATAACTATGTCATAGTCCAAATTAATAAAAAAAAGTATTTCAACTTGAAATGCCAAGTGAAATCTATGTTGGCCAATGTCTGGGTTTTTTTTTACTTTACCTTGACAAATTATGACTCTTGGGGACAATTTTTAGCTTGCAGCGGTTATCTTAGGTTTGTTAAAAGATACCCACCACGTCCACATAGTACAAATCATTTCATGATAGAATGATGCTCAGATAAGCCAATAGGGGCAGATAAAAGTCCAAAGTTACCCAATGAAAACTATATATAAAAATAGGTGTGATTTTTGTTTTATGTCTGCAGCATGTGTTTACGTTCTGGTTTTCTTAACTTCTGAAGAAAATTTGTATATTATAAATAGAGAATATTGACAAAATTGTGTTCTAGTATTATGTCTGACAATTACATTCCCTCACTGGAGGATAGGCTAAAAGAAAACAAGCCGGCAAGATGTTTTCACAAACAAGAGATCTGAACAATTCACAGCTAACGCCAGTGTATCTTAAGCCTAATTAAGTAGATCATGTGTAACGGGCTCATTAGAAGTCTACTCACTGTAGCAAACTCCACATTTCATTATCGCTTGATATATGGCACTATTATACAAACAACCAGCAAGTTTTTGACTCATTATTGGCAGCATGAGCGAAAGTTATGTTTGGCATCAGTACCTTCCACCAACAGGGTCCTCTTAGTTCATCCTTTCTCAACCAGCGTTTTGTGCTACCCTGGGGTTGCTTGGGGGTTCTTTGAGAAGATTGATCTCCTACCCACGCTGACCACTAGAATTTCATTATTTTTTCTGGTCATTATTATTATTTGTTCAAATTCTTGATTATTAAGTAAACCAATCTTTATTCCTCAATTTAAAACCGTCGACAACCTACTGGTCACGCTAAGGTACCATGACCTGTAGGTCCAATCATTTCAGTTGGGTTTCCAAGACATGAAACTATTTCATTCGCTCCTTCTTGGTATTATTTGTTATATCTTGATTATTAAGTAAACTTCATTCCTTAGTCATCTAGCTAAAACCTACTGATTACACCAATGTACTATGTGTAGGTCTAATAATTTTAGTAGGGGGTTCCAAGACCTGAAAACTATTCAGGAGTTCCTTCTTGCCATTACTGGTTGAATTACTGACTAACCCTCAGTGGTTATTCTTCTACTAGAATGCTATTGTACCATGAGCTGTAATTCTAATCATTCTGAGACCCGAAAACTATTTCAAGGGCAATATTTGTTCAATTATTTGATTATCAAGCAAACCCTATTCTGTTTTCTTCTACTTAAAACTCTCTACAACCTACCGATCAAGCTAATTTACCATGAGCTGTAGGTCTAATCATTTTAATGGAGGTTTCCGAGACCTGAACACTATTTTAGGGGGTTCCTCATTGGTAAAAAGATTGAGAAAGGCGTGCCTTATTTAAATCCATTGATTGTGTATACGTTATATGAGCATGCGAGAGAAATGCTTAGTTGTAACGTGCAAAAACTCAAAGTCACCAATCAGAAATTGAGTTTACTGTAATACGCTAAGAGGTCATCACTGGTTGCTGTTGCTTATAATGCACATCATAATTACCTTATGCATTAGTAAGTAAATCTACATAAAATAATCCAGCTTGTCCATTAATAATAGCTATTATTTTGAGCACAGCTAAAGTGCTATAACCCACAAAAAAACGATTTTGGATTGCCAAAGGCACATGGGTTAGCAATGGCTATTGTAATGACTTGAATTATCTGGAAGGCGATGCTATAGTCATTGTCAGCCCTGTTGAATGCAGACACACCTGTTAATACACTCCATACCCAAGTGCTCTGGCATGACCATTTCTAACTATACTTTACCAACACTCCCTGCAGGATAAGATACATTGATTGTCTATTCTGTACCGACAATGTGACATAATTTCACTTAATGCTCCGTGATAAGTTGCAATCACAGACAGCAGCACTCAGGATGACATGCAGGAATTTGCTGAAGCTCTGCCATGACTGTGTAGAGGTACAAATGTCTACAAGACCCGCAACATCCCCCACACAGAGCAGGTGCAGCAGCCAACATGCTTTTAGCTCCTAAGACAATTACAGCATAGGCAGCCTGCTTGCTTAGACAGCTGCCACGAGCATGCTGGGACTTTTAGCTCTCTTTGCTATCAATACCTATTGTTGCTTGTGTCTGATCTATCACATCATCGGTTCCCTGTGCTGATTGCACGCTTCTAACCATATTGCAAACATAGTACTACCAGAGCATGCTGGGACTTGTAGTTCCCCAAACTTACAATACCTGTTCATCCTTATCTCGGATCTATATCATCCTTGATCTCCTGTGCTGATTGCATACTTCTGAATATCACAGACCTAGTACTACCAGAGCATGCTGGGACTTGTAGTTCCCCAAACTTACGATACCTGTTCATCCTTATCTCAGATCTATATCATCCTTGATCCCCTGTGCTGATTGCATACTTCTGACTATCGCATACCTAGTACTATCAGAGCATGCTGAGGCTTGTAGTTCCCTAAACTTACAATACTTTTCATCCTTATCTCAGATCTATATCATCCTTGATCCCCTGTGCTGATTGCATACTTCTGACTATCACAGACCTAGTACTACCAGAGCATGCTGGGACTTGTAGTTCCCCAAACTTACAATACCTGTTCATCCTTATCTCGGATCTATATCATCCTTGATCCCCTGTGCTGATTGCATACTTCTGACTATCGCATACCTAGTACTATCAGAGCATGCTGAGGCTTGTAGTTCCCTAAACTTACAATACCTTTTCATCCTTATCTCAGATATATATCATCCTTGATCCCCTGTGCTGATTGCATACTTCTGACTATATCGCATACCTAGCACTATCAGAACATGCTGGGACTTGTAGCTCCCCCTATTGCTTCTTATCTCTGATCAATAGCTGTACTGATCCGCTGTGCTGATTGCATACTTCTAACCACACTGCAAACATAGTGCTACCAGAGCATGCTGGGACCTGTAGTTCCACAAGCTTACAGTACCTACTGTTGCTTGATTTCTATCAATAGCATCATTGATCCCCTGTGCTGATTACACCCTTGCAATATAGTACTACCTGAGCATGCTGGGACTTGTAGGTCCCCATGCATGGTGCACCTATTGTTGCTTGCATTGGCTCTATAACATCACTGATCCCCTGTGCTGATTACACCCTTGCAATATAATACTACCTGAGCATGCTGGGACTTCTAGTTCCCCATGCAAGGTGCACCTATTGTTGCTTGCATTGGCTCTATAACATCACTGATCCCCTGTGCTGATGACACCCTTGCAATATGAGCATGCTGGGACTTGTGGCCCCCCAAGCTTGCAATACTTATTGTTGCTTGATTCTGGTTTATAACATCATTGATCCCTTGTGCTGATTGCACACTCGCAAACACAGCACCACCAGAGAATGCTGGGACTTGTAGCTCCCCATTCTAGTTGCGCCCAATATGCTGTATAACATCATTGATACCCTGTGCTGATTGCACACTTTTACCCACGCTGCAAACAAAGTTACCAGAGCATGCTGGGACTTGTAGCCCCCCACTATTGCTGCTTATCTCTGATTTATAACATTATTGATCCCTTGTGCTGATTCCACACTTCTAACCACATTGCACACCAAGTTCAACCAGAGCATGCTGGGACTTGTAGTCCCTCTACTATTCCTGCTTGTTTCTTATCTGTAACAGGACCCCCTGTGCTGTTTGCACACTTCTACCCACATTGCACACCTAGTACTACCAGAGCCTGCTGGGATTTGTAGTCCCTCCACTGTTGCTGCTTGTTTCTTATCTATAACAGGATCCCCTATGCTGATTACACACCTCTAACCACACTGCACACCTAGTACTACCAGAGCCTGCTGGGACTTGTAGTCCCCACACCACCACCACTATTGCTGCTTGTTTCTTATCTATAGCAGGACCCCCCAGTGCTGATTGCATACTTCTAACCACATTGCACAACTAGTACTACCAGAGCCTGCTGGGACTTGTAGTCCCCCCACTATTGCTGCTTGTTTCTCATCTATAGCAGGATCCCCTGTGCTGATTGCACACCTCTAACCACATTGCACATCTAGTACTAACGGAGCCTGCTGGGACTTATACCCCCCCACCACCCCCCACCACTATTGCTGCTTGTTCCTTATCTATAGCAGGACCCCCTGTGCTGATTGCACACCTCTAACCACATTACACAACTAGTACTACCAGAGCCTGCTGGGACTTATAGTCCCCCCACTATTGCTGCTTGTTTCTCATCTATAGCAGGACCCCCCAGTGCTGATTGCACACCTCTAACCACATTACACACATATTACTACCAGAGCCTGCTGGGAGATGTAGTCCCCCCACTATTGCTGCTTGTTTCTCATCTTTAGCAGGACCCCCCAGTGCTGATTGCACACCTCTAACCACATTACACAACTAGTACTAGCAGAGCCTGCTGGGAGTTGTAGTCCCCCCACTATTGCTGCTTGTTTCTCATCT